CGAATTTAGGCTAATAGGCGGCGACACGATGTAGTCTTTGAATCTCGTGTATTGGTTTGTGGAGTGTCCCTCCAGGATCTCCGTGAAAGTATTTACCATCCTCTGGCCGATAAGGCGCTGATCAGTTGTGATTTGGGAGATTTAAAGCATGCTTGTACATTCTCTTGAGAACCCTGTGTGACTGCAGTGCACATTGAAGAACATCACACAGTGGAGATTTCCCGAACTTTCCCACTATGGTGTTTCTCATAATGATTTCGTAATTTTGGGACGAATAACTAAGCTATTCTTATTCTTATTACAATATCATTGTTAATATTGTTGTAGCATAACGTTGTCTTCATTTTGCCTGTGAAACCTGCCTTACATGTTAGCCTAGACCCAATACCTTATATTAGTAAGCAGTAATAAGTTTGCAATAAGTAATAAGTAAGTTTGCAGACAACTCCCCAACAACGTCAACCATTTCAAGCTGTTGCTCTACATCAAGGACGGACAGAAGTTGAGATAGCCAGTGACTATTGTAGCCTCATCGTGGACACCACTGATGATCTTGCGACTAATGAGCTTCTTACTACCATTGCGCCTCCGTCGTCTGACGAGCGCCTTGATGTACGTTTTACAATACATGAGCTTGACGCTGCGATTTCTGCCTCCCGCCGATCATCAGCACCAGGACCTGACGGAAACACGTACGCTGCACTCAACCATCTTGATACAGAAGCACGACGTATCCTGTTATCTCATTATAACACCTCATGGGAGTCAGGAGAAGTCCCAGCTAACTGGAAATGCAGTCGCATTATTGCATTACTCAAGCCGGGGAAGTGTCCTTATGCACTTTCCTCCTACATACCAATCGCGTTAGCCAGCTGCATCGGAAAAGTGATGGAAAGAATGGTACTGGCACGATTAGAGTGGCTTCTAGAGAGCAACAACTCCTTTCCTGCATTTATGAACGGCTTCAGAAGAGGCCGATCTGCCATTGATGGTGTGGTCGACTTGATCACCAGCGTTGAAGAGAAAAGAAGCCGACGCAGACTAGTGGCGGCGGTCTTCTTAGACATTAAGGGTGCCTACGATAATGTGCTGCATTATGCGATCCTTGACGCACTGGAAGATTTCGACATCGGTGGACGACTGTACACTTGGATTTTTAGCTACCTTAGGGACCGCACCATTTACATGACGACAAGTAATGGAGACACCGATTGATATAAGGTTCATCGTGGTGTTCCCCAAGGAGGAGTTCTCAGCCCAATCCTATTCAATGTCACAATGATCGGCCTAGCAGCAGAACTTCCCAGCACGGTGAAGATCACTGCATACGCTGATGACATATGCATATGGGCATCCGGAACTACTCGTCCGCAATTGCGAGCTCGACTACACCGTGCAGTGAAGATCACATACAAATATCTACGACGTCAGGGCTCACTCTTTCAATCGACAAATGCGCAGTGCTTGCGTTCACGCGCAAGCATATGTCGAAATACCCGATATTCATTAATGGGACAGCAATACCTGCTGTAACGCACCACAAGTTCCTTGGGGTTGTCGTACACAGAGATCTATTATTAACGAGGCATGTCGCCGTACTTAAATCTAAATTGAAGAGCTTTGCTCTCATTCTTCGCCCCGTAGCAGGAGCAAGATGGGGCCCATCAGAATCATCGCTACTTCAATTACACAGTGCTCTATTTGTGGGATACATTCGATACAGCATGCCGGTGCTTTCCAATATGAGACCTAGTTGTGTGAAGACGTTAGAGAGTGTTCAAGCTCAATGCTTATGAAGATGCTTGGGTCTACCACGCTGCACTTCAACAAATGGGACAATCGCAGAGGCTCAGGCTTGTCCCATCAGTGTATACATGCTCTGCGAGCCACTTAGAGTTCACCTCCGATTACTGACCAGACACAGACAGCACCCACTGTCAGTACTACCCACCACTCACCCAGATTGCAGTTTCTCAAAAGTAATATTGCGGCATGAAAATATTATACCATCAAGATTTTCTCCGCCAAATGCTCCTGCAGTGCCTACATGGGTTCTGCCTAAACCACCTATCTCATTACAATACCTGGAATTACGAAGAAGTCGCTCATTTCTTCTGTTGGCCTCAGACAACTGACCCTATATCACATTTATACAACGTACAGTGATTCTCTGCACGTGTACACCGACGGATACACCACGCTAAACACTTCCGCCGCAGCCTTTGTCATCCCAGACATGGATATCGCTCGACGATTCAAAGTGGACCATAAAACCACATCAACTGCCGCAGAGCTTGTCGCTATCCGAGAGGCAATAAGGTTTATTTCCGGCGAGCGACCTCGAGCCTGGACGATTTTCTGTGATGCCAAACCCGCTTTGCAAACCATTAATTGCATCATGAAGCAAGGTCCATATTACAGCTTGGCAATAGAAATCACAGAACTTATTCAGGTTGCTTCAACAAATGGCCATCTTATAACTTTCCAGTGGATTCCCGCTCATTGCGGCGTGATGGGAAACGAAGAGGCGGACGCTCAAGCTAAAAATGCCTTAAGCAGTGCCCCTGAAGTACGCATTGCGTTTTCACGAGCTGACACGAACGCCCTGCTTCGCTGCGTTATGCGCAGCTACACACTTCAGCAGTGGACCAAACCGGAACGGCGACACCAGCGACTTCACAAATGGGACCCTGAAATGAGGTTCCGCATGCCTCCTAAATTTAAATGGCAACTCACAAGTATGATCCACCGCATTCGTCTTGGTGTAGCGTACACCAGACGTTACGCACATATCATCGGTCGCAGTGACACCGGTCCTAATTGTGAACACTGTGATGTGCCAGAAACACTTGAGCACATATTTTGTGTCTGTCCAGCAAACGCACGTGAACGACAAACACTGATTTCTTCTACTGAACAATATTGCAGTAGGTCACTAATTGATGAGACCATGTTGGGCCCTTGGCCAGACACCAACAGTGCAACTGCGGTCACAAGAGCAGTTATTACCTCTTTAGAAACAACTGGACTATGTGCGCGGCTATAAAATGTGTCTCAGCTAGAAAGAACACTACATACTCATCTCTCTATCTCACCATCGTCATCCATTAATCTTTCTTTTCCCCTTTCCCTTCCCCCAGTGTAGAGTAGCAGGCTAGAGCATGCTATCGCTCAGGCCGACCTCTCTGCCTTTCTGTAAATAAACATACTTCTTTCCTTCCAGTAATAGTTTTTTTTTACCATCGTAGCTGTTCCTTACATGAGAAATAAAGTGACAGATTTAGAAATACAAGTAAAATCTACCTGGTCGTTAGTAGAAGAGCACGTCATTAGGGCAAACTGCCACGATCCAGCAAAAAAGTATAATAATGTTATCAAGAATAAAAAAAAACATGCGAAAATCTTCAAATCAACGTAAATCGATTCTGAAAGGATGAAAAAAAAGACAAATTGTCTTTTGTGGTCGTGAGGTAAGAACGACGATTCTAACGACCAAGCCCGATATGGCCAGGGTTGTACCTCTTCTTTTCTCTATCGTGTATTGACAGATTTGCTCGTCCACCTTATTGACAGCGCTAATAACCTCTCTTAATATTGAAGGTGGTGCTTTATTATGCCCTTTGGTAGGTAATCACTTCATACTTTTTGAGCAGAAAGACGCATAAAAATTTGCGTATAGAGAAAACTGACCTACGCTTTCTTCAACAAATAGCTGAGAGCCAGGAGTAAATCTACAATAACAGGTTTTCCCCCCGGGTCTGCTCCAAGAGCGGGATTATTTTTCCGATGTTTGGAATGTCTTCTATTTTTATAAATTGCAACGCAACTTTGTGTTACAATAGAAACGGATGCTGTTAGAGTTTGACAACTATTTATACAGCTCTCGAAATCCTGCAACTAGCTTGCAAAGTTTAAGAGTATTTGAAATATCAATTTCTCAGAACCGAGGCACTCTTGTGCCTTTCAGTGCAAGGTGAACAATGTAACACTAAAGGGCAAGTTATTATGCCAGTTAGACCATCCCCAAAAACACATAAAGCCATACTTGCATTCCCCAAAAGGGTGGGAACAAAACAAGCTGACTTTTTTAGGAACACTTTGTTGGCAAGACATAAGCAACAAACTTGAAGCGCAAAAAACAAGGACCGTAAAGAAGGGGGTCTTGTCCACTGGTCTTTTTGGTCCTTGTACTTTGTTGGCGTTAACACAAAGATTATCTGCAAGTTTTTATCGCAGTATATATACTGCAGTAAATGACAGATCAATTAGTTTTCAAATGTATGAGAGGTGATGCAAAGTTTACACTATAGATGGGCGAAGATCGGCTCGCAAAGCACAGCAATAGCTCATTGAATGCTGATACTCTGTTGCACAATATTATTGATAACACCGAGACTGTTGAAAGCATTGAAGATAGAATTCTTCAGCGTCCAAATACTGTTCAAGCATCGGTAATAAAATGATTCTGCTGCATTGGCCCAATAATTTAGTTGTGAGAACGAGCTAAAACAACACATATCAATGCTGCGTTGCCTTGGCCTATGAATTGTCATATGTAAATGATTGAAACAAAGGCGATCAGACTCATTAGGACTGCATGGCCCAATGAGTGTACTGTGTTTGGACGTACTTATACAGCCAAGTTTGAAACTATTCAGCTAAGTGGCTGTCTTCCTGATACAACGCAAGACGTGGGAAAGCTTTTGGTTAGCATAAATACTTCTGAGCGTCCGATATCAAGGATTCTTCCGAGGAATCCAATTTGCTGAATTATTCAGATTCTTCAGACTTAACAACACAGCTGTCTCAATTACCCTTATTGAGTGATCGTCAAAGCATTTTCTCTGTAAGCGTCCGTCTCTGGCTTTATTCGTAAAGAAAGGCAGCTATAAACTAAACTTATGTTTGTTTCTTCTCTTGTGAAAGAGACAATGTTCGTGCCGAGATGCTCTTAAAGTGTTACAGCCCGATTATTTTTTTTATTTTTCTTTTACTCGCAGAGCAACCGTTGTAAAGGACTACATGACTTTCTACACAAGCATCACCAGCGTGGAGGTGGTGTAACGCCGATGGCCCAAAGATTATTATTATCAGTGAAAAGACCGCCATCCAAGGCACTCTATGGAAACATTCTTAGCTATCAAAATGCTCATTTGTTTAAAATTCTCTTATGAAGCCTAAATAAATACCAAGGTTCTCGCAAGATGACGTTCGTAGGCGAAGTTTTGTGATAAAGCGCCTGTTTTTCTATTAGTGAAACTGATCTAAAAATGCTAGTATGGCAAGCGCTATCTCTTGCTCCTGAAGTTTTTCCTATAGGAATGATTGCAACTCGATCATTACATTAAATATTTTTCAAAAACCTATGCTCACACTAGTCTTTTTTCGATGGCAATTACATCTGATCTCAATTATTTAAGAAAATTTTCTGTTTAAATATAAATATTAGTTTTTCATTCCGTTCCATGCCAAAAGTTTCTGTAAAGTCTGCGAGTATCAAGCTGAACTGTGGAGTCGGTGAAAAGTTTAATTTGAAAAGGTGATGCATATGCTGATCTATCGCTTCATAAAACCAAAAAGAAAAAAAGAATGATAATTCCGTCATGGGAATTGGTGTAGTTTGAAAGTGAAACGAGAGTTCAGAATAGTAGTTGAATGTCAATGGCAGAATGACAAATAAGAGCTTGCAGGATGTGTTCTGCTGTTTGGGGAGTTCGCAGAACCATCTTATGTCGACGCACCTTAGTTGATCCTAGTGGCACACATCAATCTCGACGACTAACGTCCGCAATCAGCATTACACATTTATGGTGGCTAAAATAGGTCACACAAACCGGATTTAAAAAACAGCAGGTGTTGAATCTTATAGAAAAAAATTGTATCAACATATATTAACTAGTACTTAATGTGTGTATCGCTACAATCATCAGCCCGGCTATGCCCACTGTTGAATAAAAGCGTCCCTCATGCTCCTCTAATGAATTCAGTCCTTACCTTGCCGCGGCAAGGTTATACCCAAAACTTCTTAACCTCATCGGCAGACCTAACATTCCGTCTCCTCCTCACGCGCTTGTCTTGGAATTCAATATGTTACTCCTAAACAGAGGTGATTATCTTGGCTATCTTGGTTATCGCTGCATGCCCTGCCTCACCCCAATTACTACGAGGGCACATTACCTATGATAGTAAGGATGGACTAAAAGAACACAAGAAAACACATGCAAAAGCTCACAACTGTCAGTGTGTGCGTGTGTTCAAGCGAATCGCGTCTTTTCTGTGCTCTTTAGTATCATGGTTCACAAATTCACCTTTACGAAACGCCGGCACCCGCCCACGTTAACCAAGGCCTCGTTGAAAGGTAGAAAGTGTGAAAAGTATGTGAGGCGTGTTTTGAAACGGTCAAGCATTAGTCAGTAGTGCAGTGAGTAAAGTATCCTACTTGCTTCGTGACGAACCGTAAGGTGTGGCGTTCGACGGTGTAGACACTCAAATAAGCGAAAACTTTTCTCTAGTCATTCTTGATTATTGGTCTATGCGTATTCTTGTGACGTCACACCCATGGCATAAATGATGTGAGTGAAGTTTTGGTGGACTCCTGTATAAAACACTATTGTGTTAAAAAGTGATTATTTCCTGCACTAGAGTGCCCAGTTCGGCATTGCGGTGCACTCATGGCACAAATAACCGGGACTATAACCGGACATTTGTGATATCACTGAGTATTCCGCACTTCTTGTAATTTTAAATAAAAAGCACAATGGACAAGAATTTTTGCAAACGTTGACGGTGGAACACGTACTACTTATTTCGATGACTAGTTTTCAGTGAAGTTTGGTCCACTATGATTGAAAAATCAAGGCAGATGCAACAGTAAAAATAGAAAAAAGGAAGGGGTGTTTGAGTCATTTGCATAAGTGTTGCGAGACATTGGTTGAGTTACATATTTGCGAAGCCTTATGCAACATAGCCTGTGTTAAAGCTGGCATAGCGCAGTGATATGAAGCGTAGAATTTCTAGTCTCATTAAGCCATTATAACGTCTAACGTCAAAGAAGGTGTGGTCGCTTTCAAAAAAGAAGTTTGTTTTTGATATAAGAAATAAAATTTTCAAATTTAGAGTACAGAATAGCTGAAAAGCGCACAGTTTTTTGCTTCCGCCAGAGGTTAAATGCATGTGTGCTCCTAAAAACTTCAGCTACCCAAAGCGCTCTCTGTGAAAATTACAAGTTCACAACAAAAAATTGCGATGCTTAGATACATTAATGCGATCGTAGAAGATAACAGGTTTACGGCGTCACTGCCGCTGAGCCTCCGCTCAAGTAAGTCGCTAAAGAGGAGCAGAATGCAAAGTATATTTACCAGTAAATTTCCGTAACGTTAAGTAGCGCACTTTTTTACCTGGAGAACAGGTATTAGGGAGACACGACCCCCGCTAGTTTATTTCCCGTTACTTCCTTCTTATCCCATCAGGTCTAGAACTGTGTGCGTTGCTGACTGATCATTTTACGTTGCGGTAAATCGGTAGGTTTCCAACAAACCCAGCTCTTTTTTTTATTTCACATTTGCTGGTTCCGTCCACTCTGCAGCAATTGATCTGGTGTGTCACCGATGACGGCGCTGCGAACCGCGCTTGTATGACGTCACTTCAACCATTCGCGCGTTCTAGGTGTGGCCAGCGCCGTGTAGAAACTACCGTCGTGGTAGAACTCGAGAACGTAGCAGTTCACTTGCTTATATTGTGTGTGGTAGCTACCGACGCTGTTCTAACAACCATGGCTGTCTGCTTTAACGCTTTTTTTAAACTCACTATGCTTTGTTTCTTACAACGTCGGTCGCTTGTCTCCGCGGCGAGTGGCATGCAATGGTAAAGTACTGCTCTGTGCCTCTATAAGATCACCCACCCGTGAAAAGCACGTTGGCTTTCCCATTTATTCTAACTACTCGAAGGTAGGGAAGAAGTGGATAGTATAACTCAGCAAGGCAAAGTGCCCTACGCCTTCATCGATGGTCTGCAGCAAGCACATCACTGACAGTATTTTTGCTATACCCGCCCTACCTGCAACTGTTCGGTAAGCTTGTAACCGTGTTTCAGCGTCTCGCCATTACTTCAGCCATTCATCGCATTCAGGCTACAAGGATAGGCTACTTGCACCAAGTGACGTCACGTCCCAAAACCTACCGCGTAGGTCTGACTAGGAGCCGAAGACGCGTGCCATCCGAATCACCTCGGGTAAGTGCACGGGTTTCGTGAGCGGCTCTGAGCGGCCAGGATACTGAGATTACGGCTTTATTCGGAGGGTGTACGTAGTTCAATGATCACCTGTAGTTACAAAACGGGGTTAATTAAAGACGAACGAATCGGAATATTATGCAAGAAATGAGTGCTGACGATCAAGCGGTGCTAAGCCCTATGGTTCATATTGTGTGCGTTGACGTTGTGAACAGTTAAAAAGGAGGAACAGAAGAATGTTTCGCACGAATGAATGGCTGAGCAGACGGACAGGGAAATGCATGGACGGTTGTATAAAGGAACGGGCAGACAGAGTGTGCACTATTCTTGAAAAATTTGCGCACTACGAACGCTATGTGTGCGTTATATGTAACACGTGAGTTTCGGTCCGACGGGAAGCTACGTTGACGGCGGAACCATCGGACATCATGAGGACCTCAACAACTTTGTTTCTAAAAATACACGTTCGTTGGTAAGATAATAAAACAAGTGATTGATTGATTGATTGATTAATTTGTGTGGTTGAACGTCCTAAACCATCATATGATTACGAGAGACGCCGTAGTGAAGGGCTCCGGAAATTTCGACCACCTGGGGTTCTTTAACGTGCACCCAAATCTGAGCACACGGGCCTACGATATTTCCGCCTCCATAGGAAATGTAGCCGCCGGAGCCGGGATTTGAACCCGTGACCTGCGGTTCAGCAGCCCAGTACCTTAGCCACTAAACCACCGCGGCGGGGCAAGGAAACAAGTGAACAGTGAATTTGGAAATATACACTCGGGTGCATAAGAGCTAGAGCATACATGAAGCACTGGTATTTGGAGACATCACCGAATGTTTAACGGGTCGAGAATATAAATCAGTGAAAACGACTGGATAATCGGTAGAAACATACCAGACGTAAATATAAAAAACAGAGGTATGGAAATTCTTGCTGTTCTATAAGGCGCAGAAGGTCATGTTATGAGTTTAGAAGATTTTTTTCAGAAAGATGTCTATATTGACACTGTACACTAACCGTGACTTCAAAACAACGAATATAAAAGTAATATTTTCTGAATGAATCATTCACTTAACGTGGCCAAGAACAACCATATGGTCTGTGTGTAGGCGTAGCAGAAATAACAAAATATAAAATTCGGCACATCCCACATATCTGGGAATCGACGTTATGCAAAGCGTGCAGAGGGAAGGAGAGCGTGTTGCAATTTTTTATTTGTGTGACACATCATGAAACGATGCTAAATATATGTAAAAATTTTGAACGCTGTTGAAGAGTCGCCGATTTTTGTATAACAAGTTGCTTGCACTTGTGTGACGATGCCAACTGGAGCAGCACCAGAAGCTGATATGAAGCGCTGATGCTCGCGAAGATCTGGCCTTGGACACTGCTACACATACCAACTTCAGGTCATGGCAACTAACCACAATTGACGTTAACCCGGCTTGACAGCTGTATCAAAGGTGCACATATGCAGCGTTTATAATATTGGGTAGGCAGAACTGCAACCATTATTGACCTTTCACGAGCATTGGCATCTATTTGAAATGTAGTTCCGAGATCTCGTGTAGCTCGTTGGTAAAATGTTTCGTTGCCACGCAACATGCTTGGGTTCGATTCCAACTGGGACAACAACATTTATTCTTTGCATTTCTAGGGTCGTCGCTACCGATGTCGGGTATTTCTTCACGCTTGCACATTGAAATTTCCCATGTGTGTTCTCGTAATTTTCGACACTAAGTGTCAATCACCTGTGACACATACCCGCCTACCAGCGGCATATACCCGCCCGTGAGTATATGCCACTGTCTGACGGGAAGTGTTTGACGACGTACGTGACGAGATTGTGACATTCATGTCTTGTCCAGCGCTTCATATTGGCCAAACTATCTTACCCTCTCATGCAAATTTTGGTTCACGCCAAGTTAAGGGGGTCACCACGAGAGCACCCAAACGTAAGCAGCTAGACAGACAGACAGATAGATAGATAGATAGATAGATAGATAGATAGATAGATAGATAGATAGATAGATAGATAGATAGATAGATAGATAGATAGATAGATAGATAGATACGCCTAAAGTCGCCGATGTTTGCTAAGA